AGAAAGTGAGTTAAATACATATTAAGCTTTTTAGCATAATGCCCGGAACATGGCACACCCTGTGCCTGAATTTGATATTACAATACAGAAAGTCCCTAACTTCACGATGGCTTAAGGTTTTTCAGCTTTACAATGGTGTGGAAGTGGTATGCATTCAGTACAGAATATACTTGGAGTTTGAAATGTGATCTTGGCCCAGACTAGTGACATTTTTTATGAGGGTAAACAACCAATATAGTTATAACCATTTTGTACCCAGACTGCCTTTCTGTTTTCCATTTTTGGGAGCATATTCAATATATTACATGAGATATTCAACACTTTATTATAAAATAGGTTTTGTGTCAGATGATTTTGCCTGACTGTAGGCTAATGTATGTGTCCCAGGAAAGTTAAATGTATGCTGATCAGAACTATGATGTTTGGTAGGTCAGGTGTATAGAATGCATTTTTTACTTTATTTCTAATTTATGATGGCCTTATGTCTGACTCTTTGTGAACCCATGGACTGTAGCCCACCAGGCTCCTCTGTCCATGGAATTCTCCAGGCAAGAATACTGGAGTGGATTGCCATTTCCTTCTCCAGGGGATCTTCCCCACTCAGGGATTGAACCTGGGTCTCCCTTGTTGCAGGCAGATTCTTTACTTTACCTTCAGGGAAGTCCAATATTAGAATGTTATCCACAGTAAATCAAGGGAGATCTGTATATAGACTCCCCTCTTCTTTCAAAAACACAAAGGTGAAAGTGAAGTTGCTCAGTAGTGTCCAAATCTTTGTGATTCCGTGAACTGTAGCCTACCAGGCTGCTCTGTCCATGGGGTTCTCCAGGCAAGAATACTCGAGTGGATTGCCATTTCCTTCTCCAGGGGATCTTCCCAACCCAGGGATCGAACGCAGGTCTCCCGCATTGCAGGCAGATGCTTTACCCTCTGAGCCACCAGGGAAGCTCAAAACTCCTGATAAAAATCACCTGGCCAAAAAAAAAAAAAAAAATCACCTGGCAGAGGCCCAGAATAGTGTAAATTCATGAGAACTAATTTTGAAACATAAGAATATTCATTTAGACAATTATCAGCTGGTAGCAAATTCCTAGGGCAGGAAGCAAACTCCCTTTAAGGGATTAAAAATCCTAAAACATTCCCACTGCACCTTAGGCCAAACTTAGAATAGTTTTTAAAGATATTGAAGAGAAAAGTTATATTCTTATAACTATTAAGCAAGAATTTGTTGTTGTTTTTCAGTAGCTAAGTTGTGTCTGGCTCTGCAATGCCATTGACTGTAGCTCCTCTGTCCTTAGAGTTCTCCCAGCAAGAATATAGAGTGAGTTCCCATTTCCTTCTCTAGGTAACTAAGAATAGTTGGATATAAATGCTGTTTCTGGCAGATGGAACAAGCTAAGTTTGTCCACTCAGATGGCTGAAGCCTTTTACCAATATTTCTGGGAAGACTTTTTAAGATTTTTACTTGTCTTTTATAAAATTTATTTTTAAATGGGGGAAAATTGCTTTACAATGTTGTGTTGGTTTCTGTTGTACAGCAATGCAAATCAGCCATAATTATACATATATCATCTCCCTCTTGATCTCAGAATTATTCTTCTCCACAGAAATCTTTAGTAAAAAGTGAAAGATTTATATGATAGGAAGAGAAACCAGAGTATTATTTGTCTTTAATAGATATCTTATCGGGGACCTGGCAAGGGAGTTTATGGCACTGGAGTTATGGAAATATTAAATAGCATTTTGCTTTTTAAAATTTCTCTCTATTTTTGTTTTTTTTTTTCCAGTCCTAAGGTTGCTTTAGCCAACAATTATCTTTTTAAATGCCTACATTTCAAAGATATAAGATCAATATTTCAAGGGATTAGGAATTGTAGATTTTATCTAAGGAGGAAGTCAGGGACATATTTGCCTGTTAGCAGAAATCCAAGATAATTGCTATAATCTTTTTCTTTTCTTTAATGGTAGGTAGATTAGTTCAATTTTTTGTGTGTGAAATGCCATCCCCAAATACACATAGGTCTGGACCTGGTAGGTTCTGCTTATAGAGTAAGGGACAATAAATCAAGCTTTTTTGTAAATTTTCCGGACTTCTGTTAAAGCAGTTTCCTGGCTATCAGTATTTACATAAGTTTTACACTGGCTGAGCGCCATCTGTAGTTCTTGACATTTGTTCTCTTATCTTCCCCTCCCAATCTTGTAGAAGTGATAAAGGCCCCTTATGACTTTATTAAGACAAACTCCCCTGACAGCTGGCCTGGTTGGACAAAGAGGAGCTTGCCTGTAACTTCAGGTCTTAGGCTTCTAGCTGGCTGGCTAGCTGCTAATACAAGCCTGACAGACAACCTGCATCACCCAAGTGGCAGAAACCAGAGGGAATATTCTCACTCGTCACAAAAGTTCTCAGTATATAAAACAAGACAAATCAAGATTCTCTTCTTATGGTTTTTCATCCTTATGACACATGAGAGAGACAAAGGAAAGCATGACTCTTTCTGGGAGGCTAAGAATCAATAACCATAGGTGTTGATGACCAGAAACAAATTCACAAGAGTCACAATTCAAGATCTGTTTTCACAAATGTTTTTCTCCTGCCACTGTGAATTTGTAAAGGAAGGGACAAGGAGAAATTTTATCCTCTTCTCTTCACTCTGCACTACAGGCAGAGAGCTGGGAGACTGTTAGTACTGTTGTTGTTCAATAGTTCAGTCATGTCCGACTCTGTGTGACTATTTATGGCCTGCAGCATGCCAGGCTTCCCTGTCCATCACCAACTCCCGGAGTTTGCTCAAACTCATGTCCAGTGAGTTGGTGATGCCATCCAACCATCTCATCCTCTGTCATCCCCTTCTCCAATCTTTCTCAGCATCAGGGTCTTTACCAAGGAATCGGCTCTGTGCATCAGGTGGCCAAAGTATTGGAGTTTCAGCTTCAGCATCAGTCCTTCCAATGAATATTCAGGCTTGATTTCCTTTAAGATTGAGTGGTTTGATCTCTCTGCTGTCTAAGGGACTCTCAAGTGTCTTCTCCAGCTTAGTTCAAAGGCATCAGTTCTTTGGCACTCAGCCTTTTTTATTGTCCATCTCTCACATCCATACATGACTACTGGAAAAACCATAGCTTTGACTATAAGGACCTTTGTAGGCAAAGTTATGTCTCTGCTTTGTAATACATTGTCTAGGTTTGTCTGGCTTTTCTTCCAAGGAGCAAGCGTCTTTTAATTTAATGGCTTCAGTCACACACTGCATCAAGAGTGATTTTGGATCCCAAGAAGATAAAGTCAGTCACTGTTTCCATTGTTTCCCCATCTATTTGCCATGAAGTGATGGGACCAGATGCCATGATCTTAGTTTTTAGAATGTTGTTTTAAGCCAGCTTTTCACTGTCCTCTTTAACCTTCATCAAAAGGCTCTTTAGTTCCTCTTCACTTTCTGCCTTAAGGGTCGTGTCATCTGCATATCTGCAGTTATTGATATTTCTCCCTGCAATCTTGATTCCAGCTTGTGCTTCATCCAGCCCTGCATTTCATATGATGTATTGTGCATATAAGTTAAATAAGCAGGGTGACAGTATACAGCCTTGACGTACTCCTTTACCAGTTTTGAACCAGTCCGTTGTTCAAAACATGTCCAGGAGACTGACATGGTAAGAATTCTTACTTTCTGCTGGTCTGTTGTCAGTTATCTCATATCTCAACTGCAGTCTCCAGGGAGAGTGGAGTGTTCTCGTCTTTCACTGTCTCATCCTCATCACTAGAAACTGTACAAGAAGAAACATTTGCTTCCTTTTACCCTTTTAGGGTTTCTGGCTGAGGCTCTGTGACAAAAAATTAAGAGAAAAGCAAACATGTTTGTTAACATGTACATTTCATATATACTTATGAGAAATACAGGCAGCAGTAACTCAAAAACATGGCTAGAACCAGGATTTACAGATTATCTTAATCAAAAAACAATACATTTTTAGAGTAGCAACAAGACACTGGAAAAGAGTTCTAGCTCCAAGGGTGGCAGCTTGTGGGATGATAAATACATTAAAAGCTAATGGAAGATACTAGCTACTCAGTAAAGGTTGTTTTGTCAGCCCTCTAGTGCTGTCTTGGGGCTGATAAGTATCCATAGTTGTTGGTGATTAATATCTGCACAAATTTATGTTCTGCTTTTAGGAAACTGGGGGAGGGCAGAGAATTTTTCTTGGATCTGCTTCCTCTCAGTTGCCTTCAGCTCAAAATAATCCTTATGCCAAAGGGGAAGATTTTGGGTGGCATATTCTGTTATCCCTCTGCAGGTTTTACTGTTTTCTTTTGCTTTGCAATGACCTTTTATGCTCTAACATGGAAATGTGAAGTAAGGCATTGTCAGAAAGGAGTTAGGAATCTTGTTCTCATGAGCTTACTTATCATAGTAAAACACTGATTCATAAAGTAAGAATTTACAATAGACACCAAAAAAGTTAGTAGAGGAATCTGGTTGAACAATATGATGTGGCGTTACATGCTTATCAGAACACCGGGCAGGATGTCATGTTGTTCTGTGGAAAATATATATATATAATAATTTCAAGTGAAAAAGATGAAGACAACAGAGTGAAAGCACATAAAACAACATAATGAAAAAAAAACAGTGAAAGATTTGAGCTCATTTTCAGTTGTGTAAAATATTCAGGTTTTTTTTCTTCTTTATAGTTGCTCAAATTTATGTTTAAACAGGAGGAAGTTCCTCTTTGGGCTTTAGTGCCAATCCCAGTTCTTCCTGAGCAAGGTCATTAAGCAATCTCATTGTATTATTTTCTTGCAGGCTAATACTAAGGATATCAGCATATTCCTTTAAACATAAGGAAGAAAACTTTTAAAGTCAGTGGACCAAAACACAGGCCCTGCTTTCCACATGTCACCAAGGGTGGAGCCCCCCCAACTGGTCAGAAAAGGGGGAAGTGAAAAGATGTTAAATACCAAGTCCAGCTCACCCTGGTCAGCCTGGACTTCTGGCTTGTCAGTCAACATGAAAGCTCTCCTAGTTCTGGGGCTTCTCCTCCTTTCTGCCACTGTTCAGGGCAAGAAATTTCAGAGGTGTGAGCTTGCCAGAACTCTGAAAAGACTTGGATTGGCTGGCTATCGGGGAGTCAGCCTGGAAAACTGTAAGTTAACTATTCTTCCTCCTTCCAAATAGTTAGCCAGCTATGGAACAGATACTAATAGAGGATGAATAATAAGGGATATTGTGTGAACGGACTTTTCTTATTTCTTGGCAGGTTTGTACATTTACAATGGTTAAAACATCAATGGTTCCTTTAGAATCAGATGTACTGGGTAAAGGACTGAAGCATGGGAGGGTTAAATTCTATACAATTAGAAGCATGCCAGGTCGCACTGTACTCCTTTAATGTCACTAAATTTGCTGGCTGGCATATGGAGGCTGACTATAAAATATATTTCAGCACCTGGGGTATGTATGTCAAGCCCTTGGTGTTTGACTCTAGCCATTTCCAGTTTGGAACTTGAGCTCTGCAAGCCTGAGTAAGGCAGTATTTTCTCATCTTTAGTCCCCCTATCATGACGTTGGGCAAAATATAATATATATATTATAATAATATATATATATATTATATATATAATTATATATATAATAATAATTTATATATATAATATAAATTTCATTGAACTCTTAAAACAGGGACAGAAGGAACCTATTACCCTTCAATCAATATCTATATAAGGATCCCTGAAATGCAGCCTGAAAGATATTTTATTATCCTGAATCCAATTGATTAGTTATTTTTCATTTTCTTCCACAGAATTCAAGATGTGTCCTAAGGAAAAGTGACTGTGTATTTTAGTCTATATTTGTCAATGTCATCACTGTATTTTTCAGATTGAATTCAGGCATTTCCCCTCCATAACTATTTTTGAATGAATGAGTAACTGGCTAGATGGATGGATGGATAACATAGTCTTTCCTATTCTACGACTCTTTTCTGGATTCTAATTTGATATCCAAATTCAACTTTAAGTATCATAAGAAAGATTTTTTTCTCTCAAAAACTCCTATTTTTCCTGATAAAAGTATTTTTCCATTAGCATATGCATATAATACTAATTGGGCTTCCCAGGTGGTGCAGTAGTGAAGAATCCAACTGCTGATGCAGGAGATGCAAGAGACATGGATTTAAGATCTGGGTTGAGAAGATCCCCTGGAGGAGGACATGGCTACCCACTCCAGTATTCTTGTGTGGGAAAATCCCATGGACAGGAGAGCCTGGCGGGCTACAGTCCATGGCGTTGCATAGAGTCGGACATGACTGAAGCGACTTACCTCACACATATGCCGCTAATGACTGAATCCTCTCAACTCTTGATTTTTCTATTCTAGGCTGAATCTTACGTGAGGGATGGGAGCAGGGGAAAGGTAATAGCAATGGAGGAAACATCTATTTTAATATTTTTTAAAATGTTACTTGTTTCATTAGTATTAACAAATGTTTCGCTAACAAAAGCATTCTCTTAAGGGCCCTTTAACACGAAAGTGTTAAAATATTTTACAAGTAAAATACACCTTTATACTTATAAAACAAGTTGTTAGTAAAGTAGAATTAAATAAAACTAATTATGCTGTGACGTATAAGTTATGTCATGTTGCTGTTTATTACTAATTTTTTTTCAGGGATGTGTTTGGCCAGATGGGAAAGCAATTACAACACACGTGCTACAAACTACAATCGTGGAGACAAAAGCACTGATTATGGGATATTTCAAATCAATAGCCGCTGGTGGTGTAATGATGGCAAAACCCCAAAAGCAGTTAACGCCTGTGGTATACCCTGCAGCGGTAAGACAAGATAATGTGGAATGATGGCACAGGACCCCTCTGGCTATACCTGTTGGGTTATCCAAAAAGTCCGTTCAGGTTTTTCCATAAACATCTTATGGGAAAACTGGAATGATCCTTTAGGTCAAGAGTCAATAGAAATAAAAAGGTCTTGAAGGGCTCATCAGGGACCTTGGAAAATTCCATCTTAACTTCCTAAAACTCCTTATTTTGCTCCTCATAATTCCTCAAGTAAGAAATTAAAGAGCTTGTATCATAAAAGTTTGCTGTTTGCTAACATACAAAAGTTTCTGGAGTGACCTATCACTTCATCATAGCTGGACATGTTGATGCTTTGTAAGGAACAATGCCATTCCTCCTACCTTCCTTGTTTGTGAAGGTTTAGGGGTAATTTGATTATAGGGGTTTTTCTTTTTTTTTAATCTACACTCCTTTATTGGAAAATGAAAGGATTAGTGGTTAACCAAAGAAGAGGAATATGTGTGGTCTTTTTAAAATATAACTTTTACTTTTTATTATGAAATGTTTTAATATATGGAAAATTAGAAACATTAGCATAATAAACATCAATATACTCATCATGTACTTTAACAGTTATTTACATTTTGTCATATTTACTTCTTTTATGTATATGGGAGTTTTTTTGTTGAGTGATTTTAAACTGATTTAGAAACATTATGACATTTCATTTCTAAATTCTTTGGTTTGCATCTCCAAACAATACAGTGCCTTTATAAGCATAATCATTTTAACAAGCTAATTTACAGATTTGTTTAATTGGGATGAAATAAATAATCTATTGACTTCCTTTTAAAGTAGAGATAACATATGAATCTTTAGTGCATAAAATATTGAAAAAATATTGCAAAACTGAGTTATATTTTTAAACATTCAAAATCCTAATAAAAAGATGTCTTTAGAATATTATTTTGTACCCAGTTAATTTATTTTTTAAAATATTTTAAATAATATTTTAAAAATAAAATATTTAAAAATAAAAATAATATTTATAAATATTTTTTACATTATAGAATAACCTGTGGTAGTTGAATAGAAATTTTTAATACTGAGAGATGCATGATCACTGGTAACTTTTAGTATCCACATCTTTCAGAATCTACATCACTCATGTGAATGAATTAAGGCTATATTATGCACATTTTTATCCACATGCGAACATAAAAGCAATGTGTTTCAACATAAAAGAAATTGTTACTAAACTTACAGCTATACAATTTGCTCTTTATTACAACACAAAATTATTTTTGTTAACAAATACCAGTCTATTACTTTTTAAGATGAATAGAGTTATACTGTGTAGATATTCTATAATTTATCAATCCACTTCTTTTTTAACATTTCTTTGTTTATTTTTGGCCATGTGAAGTCTTAGTTGCCACAGGCAGGATGTTCATTGCCCCACGCAGGCTTCTCTCTAGTTGGGATGTGCAGGCTTAGTTGCCCTGCAGCATTTGACATCTTCCTTCCCCCACCAGGGATTGAACCAGCATCCCCTGCTCTGGAAAGTGCACTCTTAACCACTGGGCCGCCAGAGAGTCCCTCAGTCTATCTCTTACTGTTAAGCACTTGGGCTGTTTCAATTTTCTCCTTTTATATTAACTCCTATGAAACATTTTCTACACACGTCTTTGGGTACATACCATGATTTCTTTAGGATAAATTTCCATTAGGAAAATTGCTAAGTAAAAAACTGCTAGACTGTTTCTGCTTGTTCGTTTTGTTTTTACACTGCCTAGTAAAAAGAGTCCCTTGTATCACATTAGTTAATAGTTCCTGAACATAAAATGACTTTGGTAAATGAGAAACAGAATGCTTTATTTCATACCAAATGGGATGGAATGAAGAAAGACTTTTCCTCCAACATTCACACAGATACAAGGACTCTTAAAAAATAATAGTTGTTCTTTCCTCAGTCTACGAGAATAAAGCTGACTGAACCTAAACTTGAAATTTCCATGAAGATTGTTTTCATTTCTCACCACTTCTTTTTCAGCTTTGCTGAAAGATGACATCACTCAAGCTGTAGCATGTGCAAAGAGGGTTGTCAGAGATCCACAAGGCATTAGAGCATGGTATGTTTTTTTTCCCCCTTCCAGTTTTACTGAGATGTAATTGACATAGAGCACAGTAAAAGTTTAGGGTGTACAGCATAATGATTTGATTTATATTCATCATGAAATGATTATCACAATAAGTTTAGTAAGCATCATTTATCTCACATAGATACAAAATTAGAGAAAGAGAAGAAAAAAATTTGTGTGGAATGAAAAGTCTTAAAATTTAATCTCAGCATCCTTTGTATATGTATAACATATAGCAATGTTAATTATATTTATCATGTTGTATATCGTACTCTTGTTGTTTAGTTGCTAAGTTGCATCCAACTCTCTAACAACTCCATGGACTGTAGCCCGCCAGGCTCCACTGTCCATGGGATTTCCCAGGCAAGAATACTGGAGTGGGTTGTCATTTACTCCTCAAGCGGGTCTTCCCGACCCAGGGATCAAACCCACATCTCCTGAATTGCAGGCAGATTCTTTACCACTGAGCCACCAGCGTAGGCCTGTGGTACGTTGCATCCCTACTATTATAACTACAAGTCTGTAGTATCTTCCACTGCCTTTGTCCAGTTCCTTACCCTTCACCCCACTTACAAGCCCCACACTAGGTAACCACAAATCTGACCACTTTCCTATGAGGTTGTTTGTTTGTTTGTGTTTGAAGTATAATGGACCTACAACAGGTATAGATTAGCCTTTAGGATAAGACTAATCTTATGAATCTTTAGTTTCTGTGTTAAGCATTAAAGAGGAGAGCTGATTTATCCTGCTGATGTGAGAGAAGTGAGAGAATACTCCAAAGACTGTAGCATGCTCCTGAGAATTGAAAATTGCAGCTTTAGATTTAGGCTAAACAGTGTATTACACAGAAACAACCTATTTTACCTGATTAAGAATCTTTTACTCTTTTACTACTCAGTTTATTTTAGGGAATTTCTAGAGGTTGTAAGATTCTCTACACAATACCTTGAAATTATTTTTGGATTTAAGTAAATGTGGAAAGCACTTTGCAGTGCTGTTGTGGATGTCACAAGACTCAACACTTGTGTTTGGCATTCTGTGCTACAGTGTAGGTTTGTGGAGATGTGACGTCCCCAGTATACATATCTCAAGTTAATAAATGGCAATATTTGGATCTGTCTGTAGCTTGTATTTCATGTACTGATAAACTCTTTTGTTTTCGCAAAGGATTTGAAGTATGTATAACATAATGAAGATATGTTTCCATCTTACTATCATTTGTTTCATCTTTTTCTACAGGGTGGCATGGAGAAAACACTGTCAAAACCGAGATCTCAAGAGTTATGTTCAGGGTTGCAGAGTGTAACTGTGGAGTTTCGTCTTCAGCTCATTTTGTCTCTTTTTCATATTAAGGAAGTAATCGTTGAGTGAAAGGTTATACTCTCATTCTTTCAAACAAATAATGTTTTTACAGAAGCAGGAGCATGTGGTCTTTCTTCTAAGAGGCTTGATGTTTACCTCAAATGTTTATTGTTTGATAATAGGCCTACGACAATTTTCAGCTTGCTAACAGAACTAATGCTGGTGAATATTTATCTAAAATCTTCATTGTCAAATGTACATTTGACAATGTACATTTAGTTCTTCAAAGAGATAACCCAGACTTAATCTTGAATGATATAAGTACTCCCCAATATTCAACAAAAATATAACAAAAGAATGTCTTTAAGCAAATTGATCTTAGGCAAAGTCCCAGCTGTGTAGGCATGTGAACTCTCATCTGTTCAGTCAAAAAGAGCAGAACGTCAAATGGCTAAAAATGAAAACAGCCGAGTCAAGAATTCTGTTTTCATAAGTGTGACCTTTGGTTTAAATGTTTTAGTAGAAATGTTGCATTTACACAGCTTTTTAAAAATAAACTCACAATTTATACATCAGCCTATTTTAGCCTTTGCAAAGAACTCATTTATGCATCCTGCTGATCCTGAAGGAATATAAAGAAGGATTAGATGAGCTGTTGATTTTCCTCAGTTTCATTAGCTTGAATTCATGCATTATGACTAAATTCAGAGGCAGATAAGTTTGCAAGCATTGAATTAATTGCTATTAAACCGATGTGAAATGATGCATGTTGTAAAAGAAAAACATTTTCATTAAAAGCTTTGCAATTCATCCCTTGTCTTCCTTTGTTTAGAGCCATTTAATGTCTCTGAAGAAATACATATGCATATATTTGGGAAATAATGATCTGGCACTTAGTATTTCCTACATCCTCACCTGTACTGAAACAGGTGGAGACTGCTAGAGAAATCCATAAGCATGCTGATATCCCAGTGCTTTAAGTTTTTATTGTTTTTTGGCTGTGCCACACAGCGTCTGAGACCTTAGCTCCCCAAGAGGGCTTGAATTCTTACTCTAAACAGTGAAAGCACGGAGTCCTAACCATGGAACCACCAAGGAGTTCCCCTCACTTTAATTTCATAAACACAAATCTCAAATGGGCCCTCAAGTCAGCCTAATCATCTTAGTCACTTCTCTCCAATCCTTCTGTATTGGAGTCCCCACTCTCTCTCTTTTCAAAGTCCCAGCACACACCACTGGCCTTCTACACCTGCACTCACTAGATGATCTAACCTCATTTTACACCGACAGAACAGAAGAAACTCATACACGTTTTGACCCTCCCGGCCACCATAACAGAGTTCACACCTTTCCCTGGGCCCACCTTCCCTTCCTTCCCCTTTATTACTAGGATGAAGGGCCTCTGCCCCTGCCGATGGCAGTGTCCCCACATGCAGTCCATCACCATACTGCCCCGGTAACTTTGCTTGTTACACAGAACTCTCCATGGGCGCTACGTAACCCTCCAACCACAGCATCATTCTCTGCTCCCTTTTCCAGTAACACTTCTGGGATGAGATCTCTGTATTCACCCACTCCACGTCCTCACCTCCCTTTGTGTTTTCACCTCTTCTTAATCTGACTGCTGTCCTCACTCAGCTGAAAACGCTCAAACACGACTCCTCCCAGCATGCACTGGGGCCAGTTCTACTGATCACCTGATTTCTGTTCAATCTACTTGATCTCTCAGCAGCATTTGACAGAGTGAACCACTTGCTACTTCTGGAAACTTTTTCTTCCTCAGCTCTCCTCCTTTATATTGTCTCACTGATGGCTCCTTCTCAGTCCTTCTTGGCTGCCTGTTTCTCTGCTGACTGATTTTTAAGTGCTGGAGTGTCCCAGGACTCAAACCTGGGATAGACAATGTTTTTATCAAACATTTGATAGGCATGTTTTACTTATTCTTTTATTTATTCTTTTTGATGAAGTATAACTTTCAAAAGAATAGAGTTTTTCCCACTTTTTAAAGAGATAAATAGATTGAAATAATCTCAATATTTCCCCAAATATGTAAGGACAGTACAGCCTTTTATGTTTTTTGAACAGTTTGAGAATATACTGTCAACACGCTGCCTGTGGCTCTGAATCCTTCTGTGTGTAATTTCTATAGAACCTGAAAACATCATCCATATCAGGAGGTGAACACTGACAAAATTAGGACCATCTAAGCATCAGATCTATGCAATTTCATCAATTAATCCTTAATGAAAAGGTCTAATTCAGAATCACATTATATTTGCTTGTTAACGTTTTCCAGTTTCCTTCAATCTGGATAACTTCTTCATGTTTTCCATGACTTCTACGACTTTAACCCATTTGAAGACCTCAACCAGCTATGATGTAAAATAGCCTAAGGTTTTTCTGATATTCTCTGGAGTAGATTGGGTTATGCATCTCTGGCAGGGATGCCACAGATGTAATATTGTCCTCTTCTCATTGCATCCTTTCAGGTGACATGCAGTTTTGAAATGTTCTGTTACAGATAACGTTCACATTGATCCTTTGATTAAGGTGATGTCTGTAAGTCACCTCCACTGTGAGGTATTTGGGAGAGGATGAGGTACTTTGAGAAATGTTCTTCCTAATCAAAATGTCAGTTTTTGCATGTACTTATTATATCAGTATGGACCCCTGGCTTCCTGCTTTATTTCAATTATAATGAGTCATAATTCATTGCTATCATTTATTTTTATGTTCTCATTGTCTGATTTTTCTCCTTTCAGAGAGACTCTGCAAGCTAACGTCTGTGTCATCTTGACATGACCTCATTATCCTCTGGGCACTTTTTTGTTTTCTGGCACAAGCTGTCCTAATGCTCACCTTGTTCTTTTTCTGCTTCAGCCTAGAATCAGCTATTTCTCCAAAAGCTCTTAGCCCTCTCAGTGGATAACAGTATTTAAAAAAACTATTCTGGGCAGTAGAGTGGCACTGTTCCCATACCCCATCAAAGGACAGAGCTAGAGGATGTATGTATCTACATTTATCTACTCAAATTAAATTCATAGAATACCTCCAATTCCAATCCCATACCACAAGGTTAACTGTAGGGTTTTTTCTTTTCTTATGTTGATAACTTCCTTGTTACATAGTCAGAAAGCAGGTACCCATTTTCCTTAATATTCTTAAAATGTATCCTGAGCACATGCACATATTTAATCAGTTTGCCTGTATGTAACCAATCTCCCAACATTGTCACACAATGGAGTAGATGGTCTCCACTCAAGCTTTGAGACTCCATGGGGTCACCCCTTCTTCCACATTGGGACATCTTTACTGCATTTCATCCCTGACATACCTTGATGGGACACTGTTTTTACAGCAAGGAGGGCAGAAGGTTTTTCCTCTTGTTTATGTCCACATTCCCAATACCTAGAACAGTACCTGCAACATGATACATGCTCAATAAAAACCAGCTGCTTGAATGAATCTCCCTGATGATTTAGTATATTCCCCCACCCTGGGCATTCTGAGAGTTTTTTTTCTTATTCCTGAATTTATTATTTTTTTTTTCCATTTATTTTTATTAGTTGGAAGCTAATTACTTTACATCATTGCAGTGGTTTTTGTCATACATTGAAATGAATTAGCCATGGATTTACATGTATTCCCCATCCCGGTCCCCCCTCCCACCTCCCTCTCCACCCGATCCCTCTGGGTCTTCCCAGTGCACCAGGCCCGAGCACTTGTCTCATGCACCCAACCTGGGCTGGTGATCTGTTTCACCCTAGATAATATACATGTTTCATTGCTGTTCTCTTGAAACATCCCACCCTCGCCTTCTCCCAGAGTCCACAAGTCTGTTCTATCAGATGGATGAAACTGGAGCCCATTATACAGAGCGAAGTAAGCCAGAAAGATAAAGACCATTACAGTATACTAACACATATATATGGAATTTAGAAAGATGGTAACGATAACCCTATATGCAAAACAGAAAAAGAGACTCAGATGTATAGAACAGACTTGTGGACTCTGAGAGTTTTTTACTCTCCAATCTCACATAATTCTAATAATAGCAGCTTCTGCAGCTCCAAGGTTCAGGTCTCAAATCTATGTGACCAGACCCCTGGAGGCCAGCAGAGGGGTCCAAAAGGTGCATCTCAGGTTTCAAGATTCTGGGACCATTTTGATATAAATCAACAGGAAAGAACATGGGAACAGGATATCCAGAGGTGCACAAAGAATGAGTCAAGGTAGGGGAGAGTGGCTTGCAGAGTAAGAGCTCAGATGCAGAGACAGGAAATATCTAAGAAACAGCAGGACTGACCCATAACAATGGCTGACTGCAGAAACAACCAGAGATTAGCAAAAGTTGGGCTAAGAGAGAAAGCAATTCTTGCTGGAGATTTGCTTAGTGTTTTTGATAAATGTCATGTCTTACTTATACCTGTTATTTTAATACAATCAAGTTCCCAAACCAAATTTTCACCCTTATTCAAAGAACAAAGTAAAAATCAATATGAAAATTTCATCATTTTTAAAAGAAACTCAATTCCAACGTTGCTTACCTTCATATCAGGATATTATTTGAAACGCAGAGTGATATTCCAGATTAACACTGGACTTTTGTGTGGCACTAATCATAACTGAGCCCTGAGCACATTTATTCCTTTTGTATTTAGCAGACTTACTTTAAAAGTATTTCTTTTTAAGTTGCTAAGGGGCATCCCAGATGGCACTAGTGCTTAAGAACCTGTCTGCCAGTGCAGGAGATGTAAGAGATGTGGGTTCAATCCCTGGATTGGGAAGATCCCCTGGAGGAGAGCGTGACAACCCACTCCAGTATTCTTGCCCAGAGAACCTCATGGATAGAGAAGCCTGGCAGGCTACAGTCCATAGTGTCGCAGAGAGTCAGACATGACTGAAGCGACTTAGCAGGCACAAAGGGAATTACAAAGAGTTACAGTCATGAGTGACTAATATCATTCATAGATAAAATATTTTTCATTTAAATACATGTTTATT